TGATGTGTATAACCCTCCTTGGTATAGTATAACCCAAGACGTCTTGGGTATAACTTCTGACCAAGGAGTTTAGAACTACTTTTAATCTCCTTGCTTCTGACACTCAACATTTAATTGCCTTCGTCACGAGCAGAGCTCTTTCTTGTTTGTGATGCCTGATGGGAAGGGGGGTTCAGGGGGGTCTCCCCCCTGACAAAACTTTAATGAATAGATCTACCGGTCCGAGATTCTCCATTGAGAGATTAAAAACGGGGAAATTATGAATTCCTAAGGTTGAGACATAGGCAAAGTCAGTCCGCTGGTCCGGTATTCTTCAATCTTACCAAAATATCTCATTGTTTCCTTTGCATTGTTTTGTACGTACAGTTGTTTTTCTTTTTCTTTTTTTTTCAGAGTGGGGGAAGATGCAAAGACTTGGATATTATTCAAATTCAAGTTGAGGGTTATATCATGATAAAACTGCGGCTGCAGTCGATTATCTCCCGTCCTTAAAAAAAAATTGGTTGGTGGACACACTCCAATCCACGTTTCCTCCAACAACAACAACAACACTTTTTGGACTTCCTGTTTATAAATGGCGGTTTCCCTGAAGACGGCTAATGTACAATTTGCCAATCAGAATGTAGGCTAGACCGGTAGACCAAAACCTCAATCAAAATTTGATATGGTTCTGGTACTGAGAAAGCAACGTTCCTTTTCTTTATGCAAACGCTCTATTTTTTGGTAATGTTTGCACACTAGAGGTGTATGAACGAAATTTCTTCACAAATTGAAAATCACTTTTCTCAATCAATAAAATTATAATTATGGAGACCACCACAGTGTCCCCAGTAACTGATGAGTTGGAATCTCATGAACCAGAGCAACTAACAACCGTGAAAGAGCAATGTGCTCGAGACTGGAAACAAGTTAAAAATCTACAGAGTCAGTTGCAGTCACTGGAACCTTTGGTATTAGACGAAACAAGACCATCTCAGCAAATACTTCAAGAACAGGAGAAAAGGTTTGACTTCACACCAAACACTTTTTTGTAGTGTAGGCCTAGAACTAGATCTAGTAGTTTAACTTTTATCCTGCGTCTGTGCCCAGATGCGTATCTTATTAGCAACCGATTACGTCGGGCGTGCCAGGCAGGCCGCCGGGGTCACTCAGTGTGTACTGTTGTTAGTGTTGGTGTACAGCGCGCGCGCGCCGGGAAACGTGTGTTTTCGCCATGAATACCGCGGGAGTGTGTTAACCGATGATGAAAATAACGCTCTATCTTTCATAGCTTTCTATTTATAAAGTGTTACAAACACATGAATACCCCCTCTCACAAGCTGATAAGACATTACGAGTAGTGTAGCAATGCCAATCGTCCGCTGCGCCTTGGGCCGGAAATCGGCCTCCGCGCGAGGGGTAATTTTTGGGCCGCTCGGAATCAGAAGTGACTATCTTCTAAGTATAGTTACGGGGAAAATTCCTGGACGAAAATAAATGAAACTCTGCAACCAACCAGAGGAAAGGTTAAACTAACGTAGCAATGCCAATGAAAATTTAAATTTTCACTTTTGTTCCCTTTTTTTTGGTACCTAAGAAAGAATTTTCAATTCTGATAATCATGCTTCTTGAATTTTGAGCAACGGTTCATAAATAAAAAAGTTATGGGGTTGTAAAGGTCGGCAAAATATGGATGACCCACATATAGGAAAATACTCCTAAAGAGTGGACCACGCAGTAGCAGATTCTGTAAGAAAATCGACGATATCTCGGTAACTAATCCAAATGTCCGAGAGAAACTTGGGTACCCGATGTGTTTTTGAGTGTAGAAATCATTTCTGCAGTCAGATTTACTACCAATTTCGTAGTTATTTTGTTATAATTAAAATTGTGGTGTACATATTACGATTTTGCGAAAAAGGGGTGTCGGGATGAGTCCATTTTATTTATAGCATCGTATCACAACATGGGATCTTTAAGAATATATGTCGGCAGCGTGACTAAATAATTGCAAAGCTTTTTATGATGACTTTAGACCATGCCAACCGTAAAAGATAAGTTAATTCAATCTAGCATGCCGTACAATTAAAAATTCTTTTTCCCCGTTGAGACGCGAACACCCCGAGACGAGATAACCTCGCCTCGGAATACCCCCATTGCGATGTTACAGGGGAATAGAGAGAAAAACAACCGGATGCGCGCGCCCGCCATTGCCCTATTTCAAGTGACCAATGAACGGGCCCAGAATAGTCATGCGGGGATTTGTAGGTCACAGACATTTGCCACGGGAGTGAGGGGAAAATGGCCGGTCTCCGTGCGAAGCCGCTTTGGATAGGGGGGTAGTCGTAGATTTACGATCGGGTCTAAACAACTACTTGACACAGAACTCTCAAATTTGAGCACACTATAGAGGATAGATAGATCTATTACCATCTAGGCGTTGAAATTAAAACTCCTTATAGTTTTCGGTGTACACGATACGAAAGTGTTCCCGACACCAAAAGTATAGGTTAATTTATGTGTACGAACTTCAACGTCCACATATCATTAGTTTGCCCTATTTTCTGATTGGTAGCCGAGTTTCATTCGGATTGGTTCGGAAATAGAGCAGACCGAGGTTGACAAAGTTAGTCACCTACGCTTCGGCCGGGTCCGCAAAATCGCCCGTAAACGGGGACCAAATTTTCGCCTCGCGGGAAAGCCCGATTGGCATTGCTAACTAACGACATGCCAGCGTACAATCCCGAACGATTACTAGAACTGGAGATATTGCCGTGTTTGTGCGAATTTCCTCTACGGTTTGAAAACTAAGCGGAGCAGGACAACGTTGGGTATGAAAGAATTATGGGACAACATGGCTTGAGACAAATGAATGAGAACGGGGAGCGATTCGCAAATATATGTGCTTTCAACAGTTTTGTTATTGGAGGCTCTGTTTTTCCCCACAAGAGGATCCACAAAGCCACATGGGTTTCGCCAGATGGAGTGACGGAGAACCAGATAGATCATTTTTGTATCGCTCGTAAGTTCAGGCGTTCACTGGAAGATGTCAAAGTACAGAGAGGGGCAGATGTTGGGTCGGATCATCATCTGGTGTTGGCAAAACTCAAGCTTCGACTCAAAAAGCACGGAACCAGCACAGGAATCAAAAGAACCAAGTTCCAAGTAAGTCTCCTGGATGGACACAAGAAAGAAGAGTTTCCGCTGCAGCTGAGGAACAGATTTGAACCTCTGGCTGATCTTGGCGGTGAGGACATGGAGGTGGATACACACTGGACCAAGGTCAAAAAAGTCTTTACATCAACATGTCAAGAAGTACTCGGTAGGAAGAAATGGGAGCACAAGGAATGGATTAGCCAATACTCATTGGATTTAATTAAGATAAGAAGACAACTGAAGGCAGAAGCGAATGCAAGTAGAACAAGAGGATCAAGAGCGGATGCATGGGAGCAGTACAGGACAACAGCTAAAGATGTCAAGAAATCAATAAGAAAAGACAAGGAGGAATTCATAAACAGGCTAGCAGAGAAGGCAGAGGAAGCAGCGATAGGAGGGCACATGCGAATCCTTTACCAGACCACAAGGACACTTGCTGGAAAATATGGGAAACCTGAAGTACCTGTAAAGGACCAAGAGGGGAAAAGCATTTTTGGAAAGGAAGCTCAGTCTAAGCGATGGGTAGAGCATTTCAACAGTCTCCTGAACAGACCACCACCGAGTAACCCACCGAACATACTGCCAGCAAGAAATGAGTTACCTATCTGCTGTGATGCTCCTTCAAAACAAGAGATTCTGGATGCCATTAAGAAGCTGAACAAAGGTAAAGCGGCCGGTCCCGACCAGATTCCACCTGAAGCCCTAAAAGCAGATATCCTCCTCCCACTGTTTACCAGGATCTGGAATGAGAGCAAGTTCCCAAAGGATTGGAAAGAAGGACACCTCGTGAAGCTTCCAAAAAAGGGGGATCTCAGCAACTGCAACAACTACAGAGGGATCACTCTTCTCTCAATACCAGGTAAGGTCTTCAACAGAATCATTTTGGAGAGAATCAAGACAGGAACGGATCCAAGACTACAGGATGAACAGGCCGGTTTCCGGAAAAATCGCTCAACCACCGACCAGATTACCACGCTGAGGATATTGTGGAACAGTCCCTGGAGTGAAACTCCCAGCTGATTGTCAACTTCCTTGACTATGAAAAGGCCTTTGACAGTATAGACTGAGCGACACTATGGAAGATAATGAGACACCACGGAATCCCACAGAAGTTGGTGAACCTCATCAAGAGCATGTATGAAGGGACAAGTTGCAGGGTTGTACATGATGGCCAGCTCACTGACAGCTTTGACATCAAGACTGGAGTGAGATAGGGATGCTTACTATCACCGTTCCTCTTCATATTGGCAATCGACTGGCTGATGAAGGAAACCACCAGAGGACACAGAAATGGTATACTGTGGACACCATGGCGCTTCTGTCGCACACCCAGGAACAGATGCAAGCAAAGACTTCAGTATTAAACAGCCTATCGGAGTCTGTTGGATTGAGGATCCACCCCAGAAAGTCAAAGGTCCTAAGGACAGATGCACAATGAAAGGAGCAGGTCACAATAGAAGGAAAGGCCCTAGAAAACATTGAATCCTTCTGCTATCTTGGGAGCATAATTGACAGAGAGGGAGGAACAGGTGCTGAAATAAAGTCCCGCATTGGAAAAGCACAGGCTGCTTTCATATCTTTGGATAGGATTTGGAAGACAAGAGAGATCTCACTTCGAACAAAGCTGAGGATTTTGAATTCAAACGTGAAGTCGGTCCTGTTGTATGGATGTGAGGCATGGAACGCATCACAGACTTGTATAAAGAGGATCCAGGTTTTCTTGAACAGGTGTCTAAGAAAGTTACTGAGGATCAGATGGACAGACAGGGTCACCAGTGTGGAAGTGTTTAGGAAAACAAGACAGCTCCCAGTTAGAGATGAGGTAGGAAGAATGCGGTGGCGATGGATTGGACATACTCTCAGGAAGTCAGGCAGCTGCATAACGAAGAAAGTTTTGGATTGGAACCCACAGGGCAAGAGATCAAGGGGAAGACCTCATGGAACCTGGAGAAGAATCACAGAAATCGATGTACAGAAAAATGGGAAGACATGGAATAACATCCAGAGGCTAGCCCAGGATACAGAAAGGTGGAGGGTGTTTGTCCGTGGCCTATACCCTGGTGCAGGGTGAGAAAGGCAATGATGATTTCCGCCATCTATTTTTGTTGTTTTCCGGGGCTTCCCTTACCAGTTGACTAGATCTCTCCGTGACGGGCCCCCTTTTTCCGCACTAGAAGCGAGCGATTGGCTACATCACTAGGTTTCATTGCCGACTGCTTGGACTGTGTATGTGCGCGTGTGCATGTGCACGCACTTATGTGTGTGTGTACAACTTTGAGGAGAAGGTAAATTTATGGAATGAGAATTCCTGAGATTGTTTATAAAAGATAACTCAAATTAATACAAAAATAAAAACGAACAAACTGGAGATTAAGTCAACAGTTACTGGTGAGGGAAACCCCGGAAGATGACAAAAATAGATGGTGGAAATATGTTATCTATATTTGGGCCAATCACAGAGGTGTGCCAGGTGCTCGCTGTAGCTTCATGTCTTTTAAACCCTTGCCACTTACTTTTTTATAATTTATCTCTTGCCCTCAGGATTATTTTAGCAGCCTTCTTTCACACTAAACACATGTAATTATACATATTATGCGTTAAGGACACATGTGGAGACATTTCTTTCACTGTATGTCTGGATTGGGACTCAGATGTAGCCAGCACATCATGTACTGTGTTGTGGTAGGGGTGTTTGTGTATGAGAGTGGTGGGGAGTTAAATGTGCCAAGTGTGGACTGTTGGCTTTGGAGAGATACCAGCCAGTAAGAAAAATACCCTTTTTTAACGCATTTTGATGCCCAAAAGAAAAATACGGAAAAAAATCTTGGTTCCGGTAAAAAAGTAAATTTAGTCTTTTCGTCCCACTTGTATGGAGTTACTGCCAATATTAATAAAACCACACAGTAATATACTATGCTATGGTCCCGTCGATACCGGTATCGAAGAAACAAGAAAGCCCTTTTTTCTTATGCAATTATAGTTTATCAACCATATGATTACATGGTATCGAATCTATCTTCTGTGGACCTCGATTATCTGTGTCTTTGTGTACTTACGCTATATCAACTTCTGCCCTGGTCACATTGTGCGTTTCTTTATTTCTCTGATTGACGCGCCAGTTCCAGTCTCACATCGAAACTCACAAAGCGGATGATCTTGATCAATAAGCTTTCACACGGAACTATTTCATCATTGTGTAGATCTAGCTGTGAAAGATCCATCTGTAAATCAGGATTAAAAACCAGAAGTCATTAGAATCTAGATTTAGATCTCTCTATCGCAATCGGATCAGGCCATCATGGAAGAGACAAAGAAACCAAAACTTTCGGGTTGTTCGAATACTGCTTTACTCATGCTTTCTTAGAATATAATTTTTTGTGCCAAAATAGGAATTTTTAGTGCTGAATATAAGAAAAAAAAATTTCAGAAGTTGACATCTCTGGCACAGGTGTGGTGTGGTCATTAATTTTTTGCCCAGCCACTGAGCAAAACAGTTTTAGAGATGGATCTTTGTTATAGGGCTCTTATTACTTTGTCGTCTAGTGGTAGCCTACTGTATTTGCCTCTCATTCAAAAGGTCCTTGGATCGGAACCTGAAGGCAACGAAAAAGATATTCGTCTTTAAAATGTTCTCCTTCCACATAATTTCCTGACCTCTCGTCCTGTTCTGTCATCTGCTTTCATCTCCACTTTCTTTCCCCACTTTCCCGTCCTTCTCTGGGTTCCTCTCTCCTTTAGTCTTAAACCTTTCTACTGATTTTCCTGGTTTCTTCTTACTGACGTCTTTCAGCCACACCCCTAATCTCAGAGTAGGTAAGATTGAACACCTAGCCTTCTTGGATATAATAAGGGCAAAAAATCTGAGAAACAAAGAGAAGGTAATATAATGTCTCTTTGTTTGGAACCAAATTGGTCGTTATATTGGGAGTCTTCAACAGTGAATGAAGAATATAGTGAGTTTAGTTTAGTTTTAGTAGAGGTTTTACGGCGTTCGCAACTGCATAAGGTCATATGAGCGCCAAATAGTGAGTTTGTGGTGAGCTCATTCATATTTTACAAATAAAAAGACATTATTTTGACTAACATTTTATGCTGCAACTCTGAGAATTTTCAAGTGGAAAAAACATTTTCTGTATTCTTTGGGGAATTGCATTCTCTCTGTTAATGTCCGTTTTTAAACTCAACATTACAGATGCAAGGCAGAGTTACAGTATTTGAAGGAGAACTCTTTGAAAACCCTTCCAGAAGACCCAGCTATACAGAGGCTACTTTTGCAACAGAGTCAGGAGACACGGCATGAACAGCTCAGTGAGACCCTTGTTTTTCTGCGTGCCAAGAGAGAGGAAGTTTTAGCTGGTATCAAAGCTGAAGAAGAAGCCAACGAACTTCTGCTGGGTCTTAATAAAAGCTTGAAGGTAGGTTTGTGAGTTTGTTTGCACTGGAAACTTGTAATCATTATTAACTGTGGAAGTTTAAATACATTTGTATTGTTAAGTGTTTAGTTTACTGCAATAAATCTTCAGTCTCATGGTGCGTCCTTTGATAGTCTGTGAATTAGGATTTGAAAGATAGACTAAACTGGATACCTTAAATCTGTGTACTCATTCATCTCTTCAATTCCTTCTTATTGTTTTGTATAGTTTCAGAGGCAACATATCCAAGGCTTTGATCTTTTAATTGTAGGTTGTATGGCTTCTTCAGTAAAGTGTGAAAATAGCTATGCACTAAGAATTATGTTATGTTAAAGATTTGTTGAACACTTTCAGCACCTTAGATGCAATATTGTATGAATACTGTGGTATTAGATTAGGAGACTCTCTGGAGGTAGGGAATCCACTCCGACTCCAAGTTACTCAGCAGCTGTTCCAAATTTGGTTGAGTTTTACTTCACAAGTTAAATTAAGTCTTGTTCATTACAACGGAAATGACATATTTTCTTTGAAAGAATTGCATGGGCCTGTCTTAAAAATTTGAACCCCCTGTCATGAGCTCTTACTGAGCAGTGATTTTTCAAATTTTACACACACCGTTTTCAGAATATATGTCTTCATTGCAGAGGTATTAAAAGAGAAAAAACAAAACAAACAATATTTCTCACAAAGACATTAATTGTTAAATATGCATGGTTAAATGAATAATATTTAGTAAGTTAAATGTTTTGAGTCTCTGTCTAATTTGAACAGTCCTTATTTCATTCCTTGTTTTTGATGTTGCTTTTTTTTCTTATTTTCCTCTTTTTTAATAGGAAAAAGTGGCTACCTGCGGAGGAAGCGTATCAGATGACAACTCAGCTTTAGAAATGGCTGTGAACCGTCTCAAAGTGGATCTTGATAAAGTGAATGAATTGGACAAGTTTTTCAGAAGGGAACTGAAGCAGCTGCTGACTCATCATTTCCCATTGCCTTCTGAAACTGACTCAGCAAAAAACCTTGAAGACACAAGAGACTTTGATCGAGAAAGTGCTTTACCTCTTACTGCTATTCTGAAATCATTGATAGAGCAAACTTTGAACTCACCTGCCCAGCCTTACATTGAAATGGATGACAGATTTTGGTCAAGGCATATAGAACTTCTTCTCAGATGTCAGATTGTACTGAAAGACCCCAATAATCCCAACAGAATAAAACTTGTTCCTTTCCATTTATGATGGAATATATGAGATTTTCAAGGTGCAATTGAAATTTTATTAAGTGGAAAGTACCCATCATTTTAGTTTTGACCAGGAGACTGTCCTGCTTTCTTTTCTTTTTTTTTTGTTCCTCACAGTAGCCTATTGTTGTCAATAGCCTTCATGTCGCGTAACACACATTCAATAGGCTAAGACTACCCATTACATTTTTTCCCCATTTCGTATATATGTGGGGGCTGTTGAGAGAGTGGCTTTGTCTTAGTGAGACAGGAGAGGAGATACGAGGAAGTTGCCGACCATCCCTAATTTAATGGGAAATCGTGCTTTTTTATTTACAATTGTCTTTGTAACGTGCAGCTATGATTAATCAAGTCTGTGTTTTACTATTTCTTTTTGTTTTTTAATTGAGAAATAATGTGAAAAATCATCAAGGAAACAGCTACAACATCCCTTGTGCTTTTTTCTGTGTGGTAAAGGCATCTATCTTAGGTTAAAAATTAGGTTTCCTATTGATTAATTTTCAAAGGTTGGCAAGTGTTGTTGATTATAAGCATCTTATCTGTACAGCCTAAGATACTAAGAATGAATTTGCTTCCCTTTAAAAAAAATTTTCAGTTTGATAAATTTTCTGAAAGACACAATGAAGATTTGTGAGGCAGCGTGGTGTAATCAGGCACTCGTCAAAATAATGAATTTGTAGAAACTGGCATTTTGCTTTTTTGGCTCAACACCTTTTTTGTTTATAAAAAATAACCCATTTCTATGTGGATTTTCCTGAAAAACGTTAATTAGAGGCTAAAAAAATATATACTGTCAGTTTCCATGGGCTCTCAGGCTATGTAAATAACCAAACTTTGGTGGTCATTTTCTCGCTAATTTTACCTCTGAAATCAGGCATCCCCCATCTCCTTCAGTTGTAAATATCTTGACTTGTAATAGTTGTAATCAAGAAAAATAAGTATTTCTTTCTTCAAAAGCAAGGCAAATGAATAAGCTTTAAGGCAATACCATTAACTCCACATGCCCAAAAATTGACGAGCTTCTGATTCCACCGTGCCGTTACACATGATTTCATTGCTTTGTGCATGTAGTGTATTATGAACTAAATTTGTTATGAGTTGTGGAGGGTTGGCCATTGAGCTTCCCCTTGTGACGTAATATGTGTTGTTTTAAATGAAAAGCCTAAACCTTGGAAATGGCACTCATATGACCTTATGCAGTTGTGAGCGCCGTAAAACCTCTACTAAATCTAAAAACTAAAAACCTTGGAAACAAATTGAAGACTGTCATGAAGAGCTTTGAATTTTGTCAGGGTGAATTCAGAAATTCCCCACAGCAAAGGTTTAACTCATTCGCTAACTATTATTTTGGGCTTGTGGACACATTTTTTTAGGGAGGGCGAAATGAGGTGATGGCTAGTGTGCAGTTCAAAGGTCTTTGGGGCCACAAATTAAAATAAATATCAACATATTATATACCAGAATGTTCAGCATGGTTTGTAGAATACATCTGTAATGTTTATTTGTGTATTTTTCAACTTTGGTTCCTGTAAGAGGCGATTATGCAATACAAGTTTGATAAGATGCGGATAAAATTTGAAAATAAAAAAATTAGTAATCTTTGGTGAAACTAAAAAAACATGTTTGCACCTACATCTAGTCAAATGATGCATCAAAATAACCATAAATGAATATAGAACTGGAAAGTATTGAAAAATTTGCATTTTTTTACATGGATTCCATAATATTTGTACATTTGGATCATAACATCCGATATTAAGAAGAAAAAAAGGGATCACAAACAGAAAAAAACACATGTATGTTATATGGAATTATTCAGAATTGCATTTGGAATAAGCCTATACATGTCTGGAGTGGCATTTTTTGTGTAATTTCACCAAAAAGTAGTGATTTTGGGGAGAAAAAAATATTTGACAATTTAGATTCTATACCTACATCTAGCACTCAAAAATATTGATTTCTCAATAACAGTGCTTTAGCAATTTGTCCAATAGTATCAATGTTATAAAGAAGAGTCCTACATTTCTTTAGTGAGCAAAATAATGATACGTTTTGTTGTGTAAAAGTACTAAGACTGGTGTCTGGGCTATTATTTTGGCATCGTGATAAAACAAAGTCGCATAAACTACGAAATCGCGTTTCAAAACTTAATCTTAACCTCCGATTTTCGGTGGAATGCTTGACCCGGAAGTCAATGTTATATTACAGCTTTTTATTTTAACATGGATACGTGGATTGGAATAAAATCTAAACTAGAATTATAGGTAGGTGCTCGAGTCGTCGGGGGCGGCTGGACGTACGGACGACACTTTCGCCGCACCGCTGCCCACGGCTCGGCTTAGCAAATGAGTTAAGCTCTGAACTTTTGCCCCATGTTAAAATGTCCTTCCTGTTTAGCTCATGTCTCACCACCATAACTGAGTTGGTCTAGCTGTATCCGCATAACTTGTATATATTTTTCTTGAACATCAAACAAGGATACTTTCTGTAATCCGAGTCAGATATTCCTTTGTAAGTACTTTTATTGTTAAATAAAATTAGTCCACTGTTATGATATGAAAGAATGAATTGTGATACTTTTTGCACTTCTCAATTTTGCTGTTGGAATTGAGGTAAGATCTGGCATTTTTACTACATTCTTAATTAATTTGTTGTAAAAAAGAATGCTGTAAATAAAATGTAAAGAGGAAACTTTTAGATTAAGCTCATGTGCCTTGGTTGAAAGAGAAAATGCACAATGAGGTCAAGATTAATAGTAATGAACCATTAAGCTTTACATCTAGAGCGGTGTGGCACGGAGTCTGTCATTCACACCTAGAGTGGGGTTGCGTGGTGTTTTAATCACGGAACGTATGACACTGCCATGGTATGTATTTCTTTGAGGCCTAGGAAGAATGTCTGATCAGAATAGACTAAAAACAAGGCGTTAAAGTGAAAATATAATTGTTCTTCTTTCTTTGAGTTTTTGAATGGTTGAAATTGACCCAGAAATAGTGTGTGTGTGTGATTTTTAAAAATAAGTATATGACAAAATGGAGGGTGTGATGGAGTTAACAAAAGTTCGAAGAAAAACTTTGAAAATGCATAAAAATTCACTTGCGAAGCAATCTCGATCAAAGACACTGAAAGTTCATTTCTTGGTTTATCTTAATATCGTATTTTTAACCACAAGATGATTTGGTTATTATTTTAATTTTGACGAAATAGATGGGTCACGAATAGTCACAACTATAATAAAAGAAATAAATAACTTGCCCCTACCATACCACATCTGAAACTGGCTCATTGGAAGCAGTATTCTTTTTCTGATATAGTTGGGGACTTTTTCCTGATCACTTTGTAAACAACTTTCTTTTTTAATGATTATTTTAAAAAAATATATTTATGATAATCATAGAGGATTGTCTCCCGTATCCAGGATTCAGGGGCATGTATTAGTACAAATCCCCAGGAGCTAAATAGTTATGGGCCACAACTGGTAGGCCCTGCTTCTTTAGATATGCGATTGTTGTTTCTGTCTGTTGGTCCTTACTTTCTCCAACACTAAATTGACATTATTTTTTCTCTGTTTCTCTTTATCTCAAGTAAATTTTATACAGATTAGTAGCCTACCTGTGTTTTCAGGTTTGGTAAAATGATATCACACAAAGTAGTATTAACTATTGTTAAGAACAAATTATGTACTATTTTATGATAAATGAATATTAGGTCACTTTTGAGAGGACGAATAAGTGCTTAATTCTTGTTTGCAGTTCTTTGATCAGATCATAAACTCGTATTCTCATTTTTTAGCTTTGTCTCTGGGTTATGAAATATTCTTGTCAATAGTTGTTTTAAAAGCATTGAAATAGTTATTCTGTGTTTGTATCTGTGCTGGAAGTTTGCAGGGAAGAGAATGTATTGTAGGGGTCCCTGGTGGGCATCATTTCTGAGGAAAATGAATTTTGCTCGCTGGAGGGATTTAGGGACATATGACCCAGTAACACAATGTGCAGAGGTCGGCAGAGGTTTTGATGCATCAATGCTGAATTGACCATTGCTTGGTCTTGCTGGATATAAAATCACCTAGGACAGTCAACACCTCATCATAGACGAGTTCGGCTGATAAAAGGCCGATGTCCTCCTTAGGGGCAGTCCAAATACCTAATAAGGTCCATGATATCTCATTGATTCAATTTTGGGCCTGAATGTGTGCCTTCAGGGAGGTTTTCAGACTACGGTGGAAAACGTTCCACAAGTCTTTTGGATTGGGGGTGATATGCAGTTGTTCTATGCAATCTGACACAAAAACTTTCTGCTATCTCTGACCATACGGATGAGGTGAACTCGGGTCCCTGATCAGAAGATATATCTTGTGGTGCCCCGTGTCTTCAAATCCATCCTTGGATCAGGGATCGAGCACGATCCTTTGCTGTTTTGCTCCGCAATGGTTTTATTTCTGGCCAGTGTGTAGTGTGGTCGATAATTGTAAAAAGATGAATGAAACCATCTGACGGTGGAAGAGGACTGACCAGGTCCACATGTGTGTAACTACTGTAACTGAAGCGCTTTCCTGGGACTTTCAGCTTTTTGAGGGGTGCTTTTGTGTGTGTTTGTATCTTTGATGTTTGAAAGTGAATACATTCTCGAGTCCATTATAAATCTTTTTCCGCATTCCTTGCCCCACAAATTTTCTAAGGATTATTTTGTGGGTGGTCTCTCAACCTGGATGTGACAGACAGAGAAAAGTGTCAAACAAAAACTAGTCTTTGGAGTCCTGACAGAGCGATAGGACATGGATGGATGACATTGAGGTATCGCAAAGTAACACTGGGCCATTGCCCTGTATTGGCATGGAGACAATTTGGAGGCCTGTTTGTTGGATACTTCCACAGTTGTCTAAGTCTTTGGCCATGGCGGTGTAGTCGATTCACAGTGATACAGCTTCTACATTTGGTCGATATAGGCAGTCTGCCACGACGTTATCTTTTCCAGAGAGATGTTGTATATTGGTTATAAATTCCGATACGAAAGCGAGTTGTCGCTTTTCCGAACAGATGGTGGGTCGGATACTTTTTTCATGGCATGAGCCAGGGGTTTGTGGTCAGTGTAAGCAGTAGATATTCTTCCTTCAAGGTAGTAGCTAAAGTGTCGGCATGCTAGGTACAAGGCGAGTAGCTCCCTGTCATAAGTACTGTATTTAGTCTCAGGGGGGATGAAACTTTCGGCTAAAAAATCCAAGAGGTTGCCATCGACTGCCAATGCGTTGTTCCAAGTCTGTTCCAACGGCTAGCTCAGACGCGTTAGTGGACAGGGCGATGTCAGCTTTTGGATCTGGATGAACGAGTAACGCGGCATTGGAAAGCGCTGTCTTGCTTGATTTAAATGCTTTCGCTATTTCGTCTGT